TTTAATACCTGTCCTTTAAGATAATTTCTAATGCAGTTCTTTTACAGACTATTTCTGAGCAAGAAGCTGTAACTTAATTTACGAGATGTTTTAATTTCACCAAAGCATCTTTCAAAAGCAACATATGTCTACACTGGAATTTCAGAAATGGACTTATTTTCAGATTTCTGGTGCTTTCGCCAGCACCAGAATCTTCTTAATACACTAACATTTCAGACTTGATGTGTAACAGGCAGTGTTATCATCGATGTTTAAAGAAAATCATCCACTGCCAGCTAATGTTTACAACACATGAGAATAACCATAAAACTAGATTATATGAATTATTTTTAAAAAACTGACAAACTCTGAGAGGGAACACTAAGTTCACCTCCATCCCTTTGTGGTCTATCACAAAAAGTATGAACTACTTATTTGCAAAAATGATCTCTATACTCTGCCTCTGCCTACATTTTTAGTAGCATCTTCTACTACTTCCTACCAAATGCCTTGTTCAGCTATGCAGAAACTCACCATTTCGTATTAATTTGCTATGTGTTTTCATAATTCAGTGTCTCTGAACATATATTCATTTGTTCTGAAATTCACCAGGCCTCATCCACACTTAGCAAACTTTTTCATCTTTCATCACACTATTTGAATCATAATCACCTGGAAAACAATTAAAAGTTTGAACACAGAACTTTGACTGTGAGATAATTCTAAGCAGAAAAGAAATTGCAAAGAAATCTTGAATTTTATCTAATGGGTAGTTAATTGTTATTAGTGTAATTATTTTTTGTGTATTGTAGGATACAACATATGAATAAATATAACTGATGTTGGGAACCAGAGTTTTATTCTGGGAGAATAGAGATACAAATAAAACTAAAAAAAGATAGAGAAGAATCACACAGTGCTGAATTTGAATCAGAGGTATCAGTATGAATTCATTAAAGGAAAAAAAAAGGTAATCTCTGGTTCTGTCCCATGAAAGGGCCAATCAGCGATGGTAAGCAATAGCAATGAGCACATCAATATCCAAATTTTGGCTTTTAAATTCCACTCTTCATTTAAAAAGCAATTTTAGGGCGCTTGAAAAAAAATGGTCAACACCAGGTCTGGAGCAATAAAAGTACAAGGTAAGCCTGGGCATCATGTTATGTTTAAGTTAAAGAAGTGTTCAAACACTAAAGAATCGTGTCAAAAGACATAGGAGCCAGCCATCAAATCTGAAACTATTTTAGCATCAAAAGGAATACTGATTTAAATATTTACACATAGAATTAAAAAGAATGCTGGGTAACAGATATAGGAGAAATGCTAGAATTAAAAAAAAAGTTACCCTTTTTTGTACCTCCCAATGTAATAAATGATGCAGGTAAGAATCATTGATGGATGCTAAGAACAGTGGGTGAAAGGTTATTGCGGTATTCAGAGGGTCTCAAAGTATCATCCTACAGATCCTGTGCTAATTATAAAGAGGAAGATAAATGGCTACAATAGAATGATCTTGCTAATCACCAGCTTAATCGAAGTGAGAAAATTTAGCATCACCAATAGTGGGACAGCCTGGTATTACATACTTCATGATGTGATGTAATGTGAAGTTAGCAACATCTTTCTTATGCAATATTTCTGCTAAAACTGTTTATGTTGAATGTAATCATAAGGAAAACAATCACATAAATTAAGAATGTGGGAAATTCTACAAAACTACCCCAAATTCTTTTCAAAACACTCTGTCTAGAAAAAACAAAGAAACAAATAAGCGGGCATACTATTCTACACAGAAGAGATATATTATCTGCATAAATTTTGATTGGATCCTGGATAAGTTAAACTACTATAAAAATTGGAGAAATTTAAATATAGGCTTTATGTTAAGATATTACTGAATTACTATTTATATTCTGAGGTGTGATAATGGTATGATGGCTATAAAGAAGAATGTCATTCTTAGGAGATATATCCAGAAATATTTAGGAATGTAAAGATCTCAACACTACTTTCAAATGGTTTGAGAAATATGGAGTACGCACGGCAATATAGCAACTGGTAAGTATAGATGGAGTATGTGGATATTCATTGTACTATTAAGTTACCTGTAGACTTAGAATTTTCAAAATAGAAATGGGGGCAGGCAGGAAAAGTCAATTCAGATGTCACACCTGCTCAGAAGGCTTTTTTGACTTTTCTAATAACCTTTTTTTTTCTAATTTCAGTATTCCCACAAGAGTCTTTATATTTTTATTTTAGTCTTAACAAACTTGTAACTACCTTATCCCTGAACTTTGTGGAACCAGTCTCATTTTCATTCCCAGAACTTAGCTCTTTATCTGGCACCTACTAGGTATTCAGTGTTTGTTGTATGAAGGAGATAACTGATACACCAAAGTAACAGGCCAAAACTGAAATCCTGGCATGGTCTATATCACATTGTTCTTAGAATTTAATAAATCCATCAGAAAGCCTATTAAACAATCCTATATGTTCTGTACCATTATAGTAGATACTCACATTAGAATTTGAATTGATTTAAAAACCAAGCATAACAATCCTAAACAGCCTCACCCTTAACTCATTACAGGTATATTTTCATTTTAAATTCTTTCAGCTTCAACTCAAGGAAATTAGAGAAGATGCATACCTGTTCTATATCCTTGGAAATGGAGGTCTGGTTTTCTCCCATGACTCCTGGCTGCTCATTTTCCCATGGTAATTTATTTTTTCCTTTTCCTGCACTTAATACCCTTCGGGTACAGATAGTTGGACTGTACGATCCATAAATTTGCATGCTATCCCTCGTGTGGTCACCACAGTGACAGTGTGCACTCTGAGTTCTGTTACCAGCCAAAAGCCAGTCTGTATCTGCTCCATGTGCCAAATGGCTTGACCTACCCTGGGCAGATGATGGCATGAGCATTGCATACTCCACAAATCCCTGTTCTGTTAACCTTGGGAGGGTTTTCCTAGCCAATCTGGCCTGCACCGCATTCATCACTCCATCTCCATTATCTTGCAGTTCAACAGTATCCACAGCTTTAAAAAGGATGCTGGTTTTGCCTGACCCCATTGATGATGCCAACACAGCAAAGGCTTCGAGAGCTGCTTGGCGTACCCTGCGTTTGCTATCTACAAGAGCTGGGGCAAGATCAAAAGACAGTTTGGGTAGGTCAAAATCCTCACTGGGATAGGTCAGGAGGGAGCAGATGCAGATGTTCACCACCTCCTCTCTTACTCTGGAATGCTTATGTTTGAGATGTTCCAGGAGTAAACAAAGCACCTGTTGAGGACCTACTTCCTTCATTAGCTTGAGGAAGATTTTCATGTATTCCTGTTTGATCACCAACTTGTTGTCTGCCAGCACTTTGACAGAAGCTGCTATAACTGGTCCCAAGAAGTGTTGTACCTGCTCTCCAAGGCGAATAACCAGTAAATGCAGAACCTGAAGCGTGCCATGGACCACTCTGAAGTTTGAATCGTCTAACAAATTATACAGCAAGCTAATGAAACTGACAAGACTTGAATGAGGGGTAGAACTAGGGTTAAACCGTCCCATCACTTGTTTCAGTTCCTCAACGGCCTGAGTCCGGTTCTTATAGTCTTCCTGATCTAACAATCTTGAATGCAGTTCCTGAGGAATAATCCCAAATTTAAGATTGCTGTTGGAAAGAGTCACTGCACAGGGAAGGGGATCTTCAGGAAATCCAGAGGCTTCAAGTTCCAAATAGTAAGGAACTTGACTGCCAAACTGGGACTCCAGGCGGCGATTGTATTGTCTCCTCAGGGCAGACGGAAGGCGAGAGATATAGGATTGAAACCTCTCTTGTCCAAGTCGCTCCCCAATTTGCTGAAGTGCAGAGAATGCTGTCTCAGATTCTTCTTCTATCTCCTGATCGCCAAGCTTTCTGGCTAGGGATATTATCACCTCGGTAAGATCTAGGCCGAGCAACAAGTCCTCAGGAGTAAGTAAGATAGGGAACAGTAGTGCGGTGGAAGCCCTAAGCCGGGCATCGGTACTTTCCAGTCCTTGTTGTATAAGTGTTCTCAGCACCTGTCCAGAACTACGTTTCAGACATATGTGTAGGATCTGCAGAGCATCTTTCCGCAGGGCTGGATTCTCTTCTCGTAAGGAGACAACTAGTTGAGGCAGAAGAGCTAAGCTAAAGGCCTCTTCCAACTGGCCTGCCTCCCCCTGACCCCGGAGAACGTCCGAGAGGAGTTGCAAGCAGAGTCGCTTCTCATCACTACCTCCTTCCACAAGCACTCGGCCCAGAGCACGATACAATGCTTCCTTACGTCGGGGGAAGCCTAGTCGACCGCCCCGCCGCGGCAAAGCAGCCTGCAAAGCCTGGAAGGCCTCAGAAGGATCTGGCGCAGTCCGGAGGAGTTGAAGGAGCCGAGTCTCCTCTTCATCTCCCCCTGACGAACCACTTCCAGACCCAGACCAACTACTTGAGATTGCCTCCGCGGGCATCAAGAAGGTCGCGGCCAGAGGCGAAGGTGTCGGGGGGCAGGAACCGTGGTCTCCAGCAGCTCCCCGGCAGCAGTAGTTTTTCTCGCCTCTCATGGTGCCCCTACCTCGACTATCATCAGTCCCTGGGGCGGAAAGACGACTGCGGCTCTGGAGGCGACAGGAACATCGGGCTGGAAGGGGCGGCAGTAGGAGCAGCGCGGAGGGCACAGCCGCCATGCAGGGTCGTCAGGTGGCGGAGACTAGAGGAAACCATCGTCTCCGAAGGGCTTGATGGAGCCCAACCTTCTTGTTCCTCTCCAAGCCCCAGCTGCAGAGGAAGAAAAGAAATAGCTTCAGTTAGGTGCCAGACCGCCCCCAACTCCAGGAGCCTTCGGCAAAATGGCCCCCGCCTAAGCCCCCACTGCTACCACCGGGCGTAACCAGGGGCGCCACGTGACCAAACCGATCGCTTCCATGGTGATGTACCCAGCTTGGCCCTCTTGACCCGGAAATCAAACTGCTGTGGTGGATGCTGGGTCGTGTAGTCCACGTCAGGTGTTAAGGTTAGGCAGATGGCTCCTGGAAAAGGAAGTGAGAATGTTGCGAACGTAGCAAACGTAAGGAACGTATCTAGAGCGGAGAGAAGGGAGTGTGCAGGGAGGAGGGAAAAGCATTAGGCGGAAGTGACGATACCCTCGTTTAGGGCGGAAGTTCTCTGCCCCACCCGTAAAGATTGAGATTTGACTAGAGGCAAGAGAGGATCTTGCCCGGGCTCCAGTTGTCCACGGCTCCTCCTCCTGTCGCTTCCGGCGCAATTCCTTGGACTCAGGTATTTTTCCTTTAGCTATCCACCTGCGGCGCAGGCATTGGCTGAATTTTGCGGGAGTGTTGCTGGTGCTAGAGTGGAAGTAAAGAAATGAACGGGAGTAAGTAGGGAGAGAGGAGACATCTTCTTGTGCAGGACTCGTTAGTAAACCGCGTTGTTTTCTACAACCCTGAGGAAGTGCGATCCTTTCCCCCTGCCGTCCGCTTACTGGGGCCGAAGATCTGGATCAAGGCCGAGCTCATAGCCTGTGTACTTTAGTTCAGATCCTGGTCTTTTGGACCCTTACTCCAACCCCCTTTCTCTACTTTGCTTAACCTCCGGCCATGGAGAGTTAATGATTTTATGTCATTTTTCCTTACCTTCCTCACTTCAGGTTCCTTGAAAACGTACTTTATCTGGAGATAAGTCTGTTTTTCCCTGTAGCTAACCGCCTCTTATACGTTCTCAAAGTCTACTGCAGTTCCTCTGTGAGACTCACCCCTTCCCCGCTCTCTTGCTCCCTCGCCCCAACCTCCTTGCAGGATCCTCAGGATTCTCTACAGCCTTTCTGACTCTTGGAAATGGAGATTGCAAAGAAAATTTCAGTTACTGTAGAAGTTCTCGGCATCACGGTCCTAAGAATTCTGCCCTGTAGATTTAAGGCCGATAATAGACATTTCCTTGTTTTAGATGAACTGTGAATTTGGTGAACATTTTCTCCTTGTAAATGAAACTTAAGCGGACACAGTTGAATTGAGATGGAGTGTCTGATGTAAGGCTGGTGTAATTCTTTGGAGTGTAGACGAGAATTTTTTTGTTGTTTTTTGAAAGAATAACACAATTGCTTTTGAATGACCCAATGAGAAAAGTGTGTTATCCTTTGAAGTCTCCAAGTTATATGCACTTCAAATACAAGTTTTCCTGCCCTACTCTGTGCCAAAGGGGATATCTCTTCGATACATTTTTAAGTCTTAGAATAATTGAGTCACGTGTGCCAAACCACTTTATAAGTGATGTTGCTGGAAAATGTAAGTTTAAAAACAATTTGTGTATGTTGTCTTAAAGCACAATTTGAATGTCATGCGTTTCTTTTTTTCTTTTGAGAATAAATGTAAATGAGGCTTGTGTAAACTTGCATTCTTGTTTGGGTTTTAAGTTCTAGGTTTCTTCATAATTATTCATTTGCCTAAATTTGGCTTGGCTCTGTTTCAGTAGACAAAAGAAAACCACTTTTTTTTTTATTTTAATTTTTCTTTTTTACTTTAGGAGCAGGATAAGTAAGGGAAGGGAGTGAAAATCAAGAGATGGTTGTAGCAGTTGTCAGTGAGAAGGAAGATCTCATATTTCCAATGTAAGAATTTCAAATTTATACCGTTACTCATGTATGGTCAGACTTCAGGAACCCAGTGCAATCTAAACTAAATAAGAGAATGATGTACTCATTAGAATGTGCACATTAGAATGCCGGTTTATGTTGGAATAGAAGAGAATCCTTTCCATCGATCAGAATTTTCAGGTTGAAAATCCAGCACACTCTTGCCTGTATCCAAGAACTTTGAAATAGAAAGTAGAGGTTGTGTGGTAATCATGGAATCAAAGAAAAGGAACTTGTAAAGTCTTGAATGATATTCATCATCAAAGTTATGGTAGAAGCTTAATTATCCCTTCTTTCTTTAGAAAATCCTTCTCAAGGGGCTTGGATACTTAAACCAATCAATTATGAAGTCCTTTTTCTTGGAATAAAGCAAGATGAATCTTCATTTTGACCACTTTTCTCAGGGCCTTGTTGATCACTATGTTATAGGTTGCAATTTATTTTATGTCTGTTACATTTAATTTCCTTGATGAAGACATGGAAGATGCATTAGTCTCCATGGTGGATGTTTAGGAAATGGGATCTTAACAGCATCACATATCTTACTAATTATTTTAGGATTATTTTCTGGAAGATAAATCTCATCCATTTAGTGTATATTCTGTTTATTTCTATTACAAAGAAGATTTTAAAAAATTTTTCTTGAATTCTAGGAATCCAGGGAATTCTAGGAGTTGTGTGTTGACTAGAAGAGTCTTTTATATTGAACCATAGATATAGGATAAAAAAATTAAATTCCAGAATAGTGGAATACACTATTAAGTGTATTAATAGTACATCTTTGAAAGTTGAAAGAGGGTAATTAAGGATACATTGAAAATAGTAAATTTAGGTAAAACAAGTTAAAAATATCAAAGATTTCAAAAAAGATTATTTAAAATAGTGGATTACAGGAGTGTTTGTGATATGTAAACTGTAGTTTTTTTCTGTGTTCTTACTCAAGTTTTACAGATATTCAGGAATTTTGGAAATCATGGTGAATTCTGTAAACTATTAAGAATTTTGTATAGTTTAAGAAGTTATTATGAAGAAATGGTATGCAAATGAATGGTGCTATTAATATTAATAGTAATTATAATACTGCCATTTATTGAGTGTTTGTTATGTGCCATACACTGCTAAGTACTTAATGAATTTTGATTCATTTAATCCTTAAAACAAATTTTCGAGGTTATATCTTCTACATTTGTACTATGGCACATTTTATGGATATTTCCATTGGAAAGTAATCGGACAGAGAAAGTAAGATTCAAATTAGTCAATTTAGCTACTTGGAGTTTTGGAAAAGTTTTGGTGAGGGAGAGTATTGAAACTATAGGATAAAATTAGCTTTTTCCATTATTAGTCATTCATGTCTTTTATTATGTATTATTTGATTATACATATTTTAATCTTACATTTTGAGTTTCTGTTCTGAACCTTTTTTAGTTTCTTGAGTCAAAACTTTAATAAGATTAAGAAATTATGAAGTTATTTTCACACATGTGGGATTAAACAGGTTTTCTTGATATATATCAGTGATGATATATACTTTAAATTGCTTAGGTTTATGTTCCAAAGCCATTATGCATTTCTGACTGAATCGAAACTATAATTTTAATCCAATTTTTGTTGCATTTTAAGCACTAATTTGCATAAGTTAGAGGATTTCACATTCACTGTAACAGTTTTTCAGTGGATGGGTTAATTATGTAATTACAATTTTTACTAGATGTAGTTAGTAATGGTTTTGAGGACTTTCTTCTGTATTATTCCCGAATCCGTGATATAATGATTCATATTATAACAGGCTCTAATTTTACTTTGTTTCTCCAGATATAATGAAAGTCAATCTCAAAAGGAAAATATGTCAACTTGTGCCATAGGCTCACTGATAAAATTAATGCCATCATTAGTTGAAATCTGTAAGGAGAGTTTAACTGTGGGAAAGAAATTTAAGAAAACAGTTGATATGATACAATATTCTCTTAAATTTAAAAATCACATTTTTTACAGAAAAGTATATGTGTTTTTTTGTTTTTTTTAAACCTCATTTCTCTTCGCCATTTATTTGCTTTCCTTGTAGCAAATAATTGCCTCCCAGCTGATTTCAGCACCAATGTGTTGTAGCTTAGGTGTCAATTAAGTAGTTACTAAACTCACAGCTTGACCTTTATTAGCTTTGCTTCAGAACCTAAAGTTGTGACGCTGCTGTGTAGACTCTGGAAAATTTAATTTTTATCTAACGTTGCCTTCATGTTGTGGATCTTTATGTAACAAGAATGTGATTAGAAGTGAAGCACAATACCACTATCTTTTAAAAACTTTTCAAATAGATGCCATTTATTTAATATTGATTAATCCAGTTACTTGGGTTTAGAGTACTCCTAAATATATGTTTTATGGTATTAAAATTAAAAACAAAAAAAGTATTGCAGGGATATGGGGGAAGAAGAATCAATCCTGCTATGATATAAAAAACAGAAGGGAATAATTGTTTCATGGGTCCCTCTTTATTTCATCTTAAAGCTCCGATGTACTTTTGTAACTGATCTACATAGTATATGTATATTTTATATGTATGTATGTGTATATGTATATATGTGTGTGTGTGTATGTGATCTATCCTTTTTTGGGTTTCTATTCTGCACCTTTTTGGTTTCTTGTTTGAGTTAAAACTTTAATAAAGTTAAGAAATTATGAGCTCATAAGAGAGGCAGTATAATATAGTATTTAAGAACTCTGGAGACAGAGTGCCAAGGTTTAAATCTTTCCTTGGACTTCATTTCTCTGTTAATGAGAATAATAATAACAATCTCTATTTTATGGTGTTACCCTGAGGATGAAAGGAGTTAATACATATAAAAAACTTAGTACATTATGATAGTCAAAAGTATTTTAGATGCTCTTTATAGCGTAATTTAGTCTTGTCAGGAATGGTAACAATTATAGATAGCTTCAATAAATATTTTAAGCAGGTCAGCACTGTTCAGCATTGGAATTTTTTAAATGTAATATGTAGGGAACATTGTTCTAAAATTAAGAAAATATTATAGTCCCAGTAATGTCTGTTACTAATTTGTGATCTTATTCATTTACACTCTCTGAACGTCAGATTCTTCATCTGTCTGATGCCAAGTTTAGTGCCTTATATATATTTTTTCTTTTTCCTGAGTAAAATTTCAAAAACACGAAAAAGTAGTACGATGAACCTTCATGTATCTGTAACACTGTCATCAACTCATGACATCATCTGTACCTCCTTCCACTTCCTCATCCTATATTAATTTGAAGCAAATCTCAGATTATGTTATCTGTAAATATTTCAGTCTGTATTTGTAAAAGATAAAAGCTTAAAAACATAACTACAATATCATTGTTCAACAACAAAATATAACAGTGATTAAGATAAACAATAATCCAGCCAGTATACAAATTTCTTGTCTCCTGGTGTATGTGTGTGTACATATGCATGTATGTGCACACACCTGTATTGTTCATATGTTGTATTTGGTTAATACGTCTTTTAAGTATATTTTAATCTGTAGGTTCATTCTCTTATTTCTCTCAGTTTACTATCAAAGCATCTAGATTAGTTATTCCATTAAATTTCTGTCAGGATGTTTTTGCTGATTGCATCCTTCTGGTATAGTTTAACATGCTTTTTCTGTTCTCTGTATTTTCTTGTAAATTACTAGTTGGATCTATACTGTTGACCACACGTTTGATATTGGTGTGTGTGGGGAGGGGTGCAAGAATATTTATAGCTCATATTATGGCCTTCCATCAGAAGGCCCTGATGTCTGGTTGTCTCTTTTTGTGAAGTTAGCAATACTTTATAATCAGTGCCTACCTCAATTTATTCATTAAGATTGCAAAATGGTGACATTCTATTAGTTCTTCTTTGACTACCTGGAGTACTTTTATAAAATGAAATCTCTCATCCGTTCGGTAACCTGTTGGTACACTTAGTATAGGAAATGCTCGATTCTTTCCTTTTAGTTACTGGGTTTCAAATAATGAGTCGGTTCATTAGCATCCTCCAGTGGTGATCAATTAGGACTTTTTAAAAACCGTATCATAATTTTGTCATTTTGAACTCATGGATTTAACCATATCTAATGTGTTTTAATCGATTGCAGTTATTGATGATGATCAGTTTGTTCCACCTTTAAGTAGTGAGAGCCTATTCACTTTGACTCCTGTTTTATAATTATGTAAAATATTTGTCATGTAGTAAAATCTATAAAATAGGGTATATTCAAAGACATGTAGCTTCTATATTCCCTTCACTCTGTTCCTTTTCCTTTAGGTAACCTTTTAAAAATATATATTATTTATGATTTCCTTTTTTTTTTTATAAGGGATATGTATATTTGTAACCTCTCCTTTCTTAGATAAATGGTGACATACTATAACACCTTTCTCTTCCTTGCTAGAATTGGGAGGTCCCTGCAAAGTAGTATACAGAGGTGCTGCATTACTTTTCACAGCTGCGTCGTACTCCCCTGTGTGGATGTCCCATAGTTTTTTTTCACCCATTCTTTTGTTGGTGGACATTAGAGTTGTTTTAAAAGTCTTAGTCAGTTGCCTGTTGGTCTCTCAAATATGAAACTAAGAATCATAAAGTATTCTTTTGCTTTGACAAATAATTATTTATGTGTTTGTCTTTATATACTTTATATACTTTTTTCCAAGTATATTTTTTTAGGATAAATTCTAAGAAGTAGGGTTGTTGGGTCAAAGGGCAATGCAAATGTAATTTTGTTAGATTTTTGAGATTTACCTCCAGAGTTCTTATATTGTTTAACATTCCCACAGCAATATGTGAGAGTGCCTGTTTGTAACAGCCTCACCAACAGAGTATATGATCAAGAGAGAATTAACTCTATGGAGTTTTAATTTATTTGATTATAAGTGAAGTTGAACAATTTTTTATATAGTTAAGAATCATTTGCATTTTTAAACCATGTGTTCCTTTCTTTATAGCCTGTTTT